TTTGCGATTGCAATATCTTGGTTGCAAACATCTCAATAGGACAATCTTTTCTACGCTGATTGTACAAGTTCAAACACAAATTCTAAATTGCTTTATACTATCTTTTCTATTTTGCCACTTTATTTCATTTTATAAATAAAAAAAACGAAATTTTTTTTTGTAGAGAATTTTGCGACGGTTGGCGACATTTATGTGGAATAATTTTAGGCGGCTGTAAAAAATAAAAATAATTCTGATTTTCACTAAAATTAAATTAACGCCAATTTATTCCAGCACTCAAATGACGTCATTTCCGAAAAAGTTAGATAGGTACAAGATTGATTTTTTGTAACAAATAACTTAAAATGATTAAAAAAAAGATAATTTAACATTATTTAGTCATTTACTATTTGGTTAGTTGGTAGCCCTGTCCGTTACTATGGTTTTATGTAAACAAAATTTGTAACACTAGCACCATTTTCTTTTGTAATTTTCTATATATTTCTGTGAAAATGAGTTCTGACGAAATTTTGACGTCGCCAGAAATTAAAAAAGATATTTGTTTTGTCATCTAATACCAACCGTTCTTTTTTGCAAAGTAAAAAACACCGTGGTGTGGGAAAAACGTTTCTTTATTTCGGTGTTAAAATAAGTCTATTCCAGCACCCAAATGACGTCATTTGATACCTTCTGCAACTTGTACTTTAATATACTATTTTCCATTCATCGAGAAAAAATGGAAAAATTTTGTTTCCAAGCAATGAGTACAAAAAATATAGGTATCCTTATTTATTGAAATGCCATTTTACACAACTTTTTAATTACTGAATTGGAACTAATTGGAATAGCGCCATCTGGTGGTGCCTCATAGCCACCACGATTTTTTTGACGTAACCTTGTCATTAACGTGTAAGATTTTCGATCAAAAAGTTTAATACAAATCTTGTGTGTTTACCATTTTACAGGGCTCAATTATTAACGCACTCGGTTACGCGTCGTGTTTCAACTCAAAGTAATTTATTTTGTAAGAAATATTATACAGGGTGAATATAAAGTATGGAACCAAGCGATTTTTTTTAAATCATTTGTCTTCAGAAAATAATAATTAATATAAATTAACGTAATAAAAATGAGATCGTATTTTGAGAACGAAATTTTGTCTTGCTTTTGAGTTATGCAATTTTTTTTGTCAATATTGCAATTTATGTAAAAAAAAATTTTTGAAAAAATTAAATATGAAGTAGATAGTTGTAATCCTTAGATCATAACCTTTATGAGAAAAATTGTTTTATAGTGGGTTGCTATTTAAAAAAAAATATTTTTTTTGTAAAACTCAAAAACAAAAGAAAATTTCGAAAAATTTTATTCTTGATAAAACACTCGTATGTAGTGACCGAAAACTTTTTCTCGCCCCTGTATTATGACTTATGATTTATGAGAATCTAGTTCATAGAAAAATTTGTTAAGTATTAATTTTATACTTAGAACTTACTGACAATGATTGTAAATAGAATTAAGGTAAATTATAAATCGTGTTGTTTAAATTAAAAGTTGTAAACAATAACAAACAAACGATGAATCAATTTCAAAGGCAATTTACATAACGCTTTTACTTAAAAACTAAATCAACACATTACTAATGGTTTTGCTTCTTCATAAAATAAGCGTGTTTAATACCAGAGAGTGCTTACATTACGTTAATTTCTAGTCCACTCTGCAATCAATTGACTTAACAAATTCTTCTTCATGATAAAAAAATCTCTGCATTTATTATTATTTTTCATTTATTCTTCAAAGTAAATATTTCATTAAATGTAACCTACATTTAGTTATATACCTAAATTAAACGTTCAAGTCATGTTGTCCAATGAGGCTAAAAATACCTTTATAGAGGCAATATACTCGTAGGTGTAAATATAAATTATTTTAATCGTGTGCTTAAATCTCGTAAGTTACTTTATTCCTTCAATATGCATCGTAATTTTAATCGTGTGGTTCAAATTGATTTCGGTTACAAAAATTTAAACTAAACAATCATAGTATGTTATTACATAAATTTGTGTTTTGCAACATCATGCAAATACTATGAACAATAAAGTAATAATAAAGTAATAGAGTAATAAAAAAAAATTACAATAATATTGATTTAGAATTTGCAATTTTTTTAAGCAAAACGGTAGTCACTCTTCAAAAATATTAATTTATCTAATTTGACACTTCATTAATATTCGTTATAAAATCAACCTTCTTTAATAAAAAGACAGTTTGTTTGTTCAGGTTTTTTCAGTTATTACAAACCCAGATTCATTGTGCATAAATGATTCATAAAAATGTGACTCAAATGTTACATTAAAATCCCTAAAGTTCTTTCAGTTCGTCTGTAATTACAGATTAAATATAATTTGTAATGTTTTAAATTTTAAAAATAAGATATTTTACATTTATCAAGTCGAATTTAACTAACCTGAAAAATATAAGTATTGCGAAAGGTGATCGAAAGGGACCGAGGGCATTTTCAATCGATAAATTAACAACGTTTATTCCAGAGATGCATACAAAACTTTTCTTCTAACACACTAAATTAATAATACCATAAGAAAATTATAAATTTGACAAATGTTAAATAATTTGTCAAAAATTCAGTTCAATCAAATTCAATTTCAAGAATAAAAACCAATATCAAGGTGTTTGTTTAGATCAAAAAACATTCAAAAGAATCAATTCATTCAATTCCAGTTTATTTTCAGAGTAAAAATCAGACAAGACAACAATTTCAAGAAATTCTTCCGTCAAGCAAGACTGTTAACGTTAAACCCTATTTTCCTTCTTAAATTTTTACATTTACAAGTTACAGATTATTGAATATGTATGAATACATATTTACATAACACCCTGTATCGTAGATGGTGTAAGATAAGTAAGATAAGATACTAAACACATGGAAAAAATGTTTAAAAAATTTCACCTGTCAAAAAATTTTGACATTTATTTTTTGACATTTGACATTTTTTATGTCTATTTAATGATACTGATGATCTTGTATATGTTTTTTTACAATTATTTAGTAAAGGTACAAAAATGTTACCAATAAAAGCCACAAATAACATTAAACAGAGTTACAATTTAGGATACAACTTCCTTGTTTCTTCTACGAATAACTTGTAGCAAAACAACTTGGAAAATTATTTTTCCAACAGAAATAAAGTGCAAAATTTAAACTCTCATAACTTCGAAATTTTTATAAATAGAATGAATGTTCCTGGTATCTTACCTTACATGGCATTTTTCTCTGGGGCCCGAGTTCTGGCGCACCCTGTATATGTTGCTACACTCTACATTTTATTATTATGAGAAAATATCATCAAACAACAAGGTAAAATTATGCATTTTACTTCAATAAAAATAGTATACACACACAATCGATGTAAAAAATATGTCATTAATGACATTCCCTCGAGGTTTATATAGTATTTTATTCGCCATCACATTTCGTTGAAACGATAAAATATCTGTTTTTTATCAAAATTTTGGCAAATTGCGTTTTTGACATTTGATGAACTCGTAACCTTGATATAATCTTACTAAATTACTTCCCGACCATGAGATGTAGTAATTACGAATTAGTTATTTACGAATTCAGAGTTGCTAAAAAGGCTATAACAACCGAGAAAGTTAATTAAGGCCCAACAAAACATGAAGAAAAATTTGCATATTTAAAAAAAAATACACTTGAAATGTTACCACAATGTTATTGACAGCTTAACGACTGTAAATTCTTGAGTATTATTCATACCATAACTACATAATACAACGAAAAAAACTTTACATCCCTTGGTCGGAAAGTAATTTGTAATTTATATTAGTCCATCAAATTTTCAAACGTCATTTGCACAGCAAAAACTTATCCTGACATAAGACATTCACTTTTAGTATACTATTTTCATCAAGGATGACAATCTCAATTTCAATTTTTCAGATTCGGACAAACAAAATTAAAGTTCATTATTTTTAAATAAAATTTTCTACCCTACGACACTGACTGGTAATTATTTGAATGAGATTTCATCAACTTCTGTTTCAGACCATTTTTATTTGTTATTCTGTCAAATGACAAAATCGCACGTCGTCGATTGGATCTTACTCCAAACTTTGACAGAAACAGATCTTTTATTATTTAAACAAAATATGATTGTGAATAAATTACTAAACACCCCACAAAATAATGACATATTCTCCATCCCGATTGTAATATACTATTTTTTACTTCTATGAACGAATGCATTATAATTCGAGTGTCGCTTACATAATTCGATAAAATATATTTTATCGGTTTCTGTCTGTTAACAGCAATGTTACATGCACAAAAATAGTCTGGTAACTATGGCATAACCTTATTGATTACTGTAAAATTTTACAATATCGATATGTCATTTTTACTGACATATCGATACTGTAAAATTGTAAACTGACATCTGCAGTTGTCATTACATCCTAGAATTTTTGGATTTAATTTGTTCAAATTTTTAGCTTATTCGACAGAAACCAATAAAATCTTGAACAAACCACGGATGTAATAATGTCATAACAGCCTTAGATGTCTGACATCTGCAGCTGTTATGACATTCATTACACCCTAGGTATGTTAATAGCTATTAAATTGTACACAATTTAAGGTTTCCCATAAAATAATTACCAACATGAAACTTCGCAGATTTAACAAAAAATAGTGGGACATTCAAAATGGGTCTATAGTGTTTTAATTGCAAACTTTTCACACGATTAACAATCAAAAAACCTTGAATGGGTTAAAAATACAACTATTATAAACTCAATAATGGTTAAGCAAAGTTGTTTGAAAAAATAACTGTATAACCGTTCAATTAACGGATATAATAACTGCAAGTTGCAGTTTACAATAATGCAGATTTATTTAGTGAACGGTAATGATTGATTAATAAAACTTATGGACTGTCCATGAAAGTGATAGTGGGCTTATTAAACGACCATAACTGGTGACTCACCTGCTACGGTGTTCTCCAGATTAATGGGCAATCCATTACATAATCCACAAAACAGTAGCCCCATGTAAAGACCCAAAACTCCCCATGGTTTTTCCATAATTTGCAAATCTTTCACAAAAACAAAAACATCATTCACTGAAACACACTAAACAGTTGTCTTGTGCACAACACTTTCAACGAAATTGAGATTTAACCAAATGACATGTCACATTTTAAAACACATTTTTCCACTTGTGTTCTCGTAAAAATCTCGCAATTTTTATCAAATGTCTCAACTCGACAACATCACTCAACCATTTTTGCGACGAAATGACATTTCTCTTGAGCACTAATCGCAGCGCCCTCTCAAGCCAGAAATAAGAAATACGCCATTTTTGACAAATACTTGACAGATTTGACCTAACCTAAAAATGGCAACAAAAACAATATTTAGTATTTTCACTTGTGTTTTTGCTTTTTTATCAAAAATCTCAGTTTAGCAACATTATTCTTCTATTTTTGAGTCACACTGACAACACCTTAGCGCCCTCTCAAGCCAAAAATACGAAATACAATATTTTTGACAAGTGTTTGACAGTGACAGTTCCCTAACCTCAAAATGTCAACAATAACAATCACGGAAAATTCCAAAGTGAAGAATAAAGAAAAGGATTTGAAACAAGCCACTAGTTCGAACGATCTTGACGCAGTTCTAAACAAGGTTAAGAAGATTGATAACACTTGTTCATTTATAAAATGCAAAAATCGAACCAATGATTTTGCCATTGAATGTAAATATTGCAAGGGAAGATTTTGCCCAACTCATGGACTTCCCGAAATTCACGGCTGTGGGGACGCTGTTAAAAAAGACGAAAGACAGAAATATTTGCACCCTAATGTGAAGTTGACACAAGAAAAGCATTCACAAGCCCAAACTAAACTCAACATGAAACTGAAGCAAATGCAACAGGAGAGGAAGGCCAAACAAGGGTCCACAAGTAAAGGAAAGAAATGAAAAATTCTCTTGTTAACACCAGTTTGTAATTTAATAAAATCCATTAACATCAACCACGGCCAACTGTATCTATCTCCACTTCGTTCCGATAAATTAAATTAAATTTTTTGTAAAATTTGTCAGTGTTTGCATTATGATTTTTGAAGGTTCCAAAATTATCATCATAATTTAACATTGGAGTTTATTTATGTAAAATTGTTTATGGATTCCAAATATACCTATATTTAGTTTTTCTTTCTCACTTTTTTAAAACGATAAAATCCTTAATTTGCTGGATTTTTATTTTTTCACGGTCACAGAAATCAAAAAATTGGACCGAAACTCGATTTTTCTTTTGTAGAATCGTCTAAAGATTCCGAATATGAAATTGGTTTTTAATTGTCATTAATATTTTAATAAAAATTTGTAAATTTTTTCGAAAATTCGTGAACTCGTTTCTACTCCGATATAAAAATTATACTTTTTCAAGTCACCGAAATTACGTTTTTTTTATGGGAAATTGTCCAAGCACTTTGAATATGTAATTAGTTGTTATCCATTATTAATAATTTTTTCTAAAATTTATCAGTGTTTGAATTATATGTATTTTAAGGTTACAAAAATCATTATATTAATTCAAAATTTGAGTTTCTTTACGTAAAATTGTCCAAGGATTTCGAATATGTTGTTAGTTTTTTCTTATCGGTAATAGTTTTCGAAATATTGGACAAAATTTGACATTTTTTTAGACCATCGGCGAGAGCTGGATTTTCATTTTTTCACGGTCGCAAAAATCTACAGATTGGTCCAAAACTTGATTTTTCTTATGCAAAATGTCCAAGGATTCCCAATATATAACTAGTTTTTATTCATCATTAATAGTTTTTGAAATATCCAAAATTTGTCAATTTTTTTCTACAATTCCTAAAATCACTTCTAGTCCCATCCTAGAATTATAATTTTTTAAGGCTATTAAATTTGAGAATGAACCGAAATTAGGTTTTTTTCATACGACATTATTCAAGAATTTTGAATATGAATATGTAATTAGTTTTATCTATTATTAACAATTTTTGAAAATTTGACCAAAACGTTAAATTTTGTGTAAAATTTCTCAGTGTTTCAATTATGATTTTTGAAGGTTCCAAAATTATTACCATAATTTAAAATTAGAGTTTATTTATGTAAAATTGTCCAAGGATTCCGAATATGTATTTAGTTTTTTTTTCTCATTTTTTTAAACCGACAAAATCGTTCATCGGGAAGCTGGATTTTTTATTTTTCACGGTCACAGAAATCTACAAATTGGACCAAAACTTAATTTTTCTTATGCAGAATTGTCCAAGGATTTCAAATATGAAATTAGTTTTTAAGTATCATCAATAGTTTTCGAGATATCACTTAAAATTAGTATTTTTTTTCGAAAATTCGTGAAATCGTTTTTACTCCGATATAAAAATTATACTTTTTCAAGTCACCGAAATTAAAAATTAAACAGAAATTACGTTTCGTTATGTAAAATTGTCCAAGAATTCCAAATATTTATTTAGTTTTTTCTTATCAGTAATAATTTTCGAAATATCGGACAAAATTTGTAATTTTTTTAGACCATCAGCGAGAGCTGGATTTTCATTTTTTCACGGTCGCAAAAATCTACATATTGGTCCAAAACTTGATTTTTCTTATGCAAAATTGTCCAAGGACTCCCAATATACTTATAACTACTTTTTATTCATCATTAATAGTTTTTGAAATATCCAAAATTTGTCAGTTTTTTTCTACAATTCCTAAAATCATTTCTAGTCCGATCCTAGAATTATAATTTTTTAAGGCTACTAAAATCTGAGAATTGAACCGAATTTTTTTTTCATACGACATTATTCAAGGATTTTCAATATGAATATGTAATTAGTTTAGAAGAGCTGGATTTTTATTTTTTCACGGTCACAGAAATCTACAAATTGGACCAAAACTCAATTTTTCTTATGCAGAATTGTCCAAGGATTTCAAATTTGAAATTAGTTTTTAAGAATCATCAATAGTTTTCGAGATATCACTTAATTTTTTTTTTTTTTTTTTGAAAATTCGTGAAATCGTTTCTACTCCGATATAAAAATTATACTTTTTCAAGTCACCGAAATTAAAAATTGAACCGAAATACGTTTTTCTTATGGGAAATTGTCCAAAGACTCTGAATATGTAATTAGTTGTTATCCATTATTAATATTTTTTTGTAAAATTTGTCAGTTTGAATTATAATTTTTCAAGGTCACAAAAATTATTATGTAAAATTGTCCAAGGATTCCAAACAGTTTTTTCTTACCAGTAATAGTTTTCGAAAAATCGGCCAAAACATGTCATTTTTGAAATCGTTCATCGCCGAATTGAATTTTATTTTTTCACGGTCACAGAATTTAGGCCGAAGCCAGATTTTTCTTATTGTCCAAGGATTCCGAATATGTAAAGGAAAAAAATGAAAGATTCTCTTGTAATTTAATAAAGTCCATTAACATCATCTTTATTTATCAAATATTGTATACAAAAATACATATTTGTAACTCTAAAAATCAGTCATTTTGTATGTAATTCTTGCATAATAAAATTGGCCGTGACAAAAATAACGCAAAATATCGACCAACCAATCACGAAAATGAACCAAAAGACATGTCTAAAAGGACTAGAATATTTATTGTCATAATTCCCGATATTTCTTGTGCAATGTTGGCGAGCGAAATATACCAAACAAGCTGGTATTATATACTGTATTAGAACCCCCGCATAAGAGCCCGTGAAAGCAACCAAAGTCCTCAAATTATGAGTGGAAAACGCCACCACAATTGGGGGAACTACAGCCAAAGTGGGGAAAGCTAATCTACGAATAAAAAAATTATACCTCTCCATGAGATTAATATCAAGAAATAGACTCTTTAAATTATTTTGTAGCGTAATTGCAATAATTGGGAAGCTCGTAGATAAGGTAAATAAAGGAAAAGCCCCCAGAAAATACTTAATAACTTCCATAAAAATCCCAGAATTGTCCGATTCAGTAGGAATAAAATTGAGTGTGTATAAATCATCCAAAGTTTCAAACGCAAATGATCCAGTCATGGCTAACAACAAATAAAAACAACAAATTGACAAATAATCCAAACCGATTTGTCTAATCACATGTTGTTTATTGGAAAAAGGGGCTATCAAACCCGGAACTGAATGGTGGCACATGAAACTATAAATACTTGAGCCAATTAAACTAGGAACACCACTCAAATGAACCAAATCAGGGTGCCCCTCTTGACCATTTTTCGATAATCTGATAACCGCCAATGTTATCATTATGATAAAAGCCGACCAACGCAAACCTGTGGTCACAATCTGGAGATATTTCGTTTTTTGAACTTTAAAATAAGTAAATGGACCCACTGAAAACGCAAAAATTGTCACAAAAATACGATACATGTCAATTTTTAAAACATCTAATGATTCTGAACACTTAGTACTATAATCTTCTGTGTTATTATTATTTGTTTTACAAGTGAGGTCCACTATTGTTTTTGAAACAGCTGTGGCGTAAATAGCTAAATCACCGTATAAATAAATACACAGTGAGACATAAAACAATAATTGGCCTAATTTATTAAAATAGAGTTTGGCCATTTCCCCTAATTCGACTTTTGTGTTTAGATTATAATAGCGTTTTGTTCGTCGATTAATACTCATAATTGCTGTTTCTTCTGTTGTGTTTTCAGGTTCGGAATCACTCTCATCAGGTACTTCGCTTTCCTAAATAACAATTATAAGTAATAGAAAAAAAATTGAGTAACTTACATCAATTTTGTGAGACTGGACACGTCTCCAATGGACTGTGGCGTTAGCACAAGCCATTGTTTCAATAACAAAAGTCACTGTTATGAAACTGACTAGGGCTAAAAGACTTACTAAAATTGTACTTAAGAGCCATCCAGCCCCCGCAAACACCGAGGGGAGGGTCAGGGCACCAGTGCCCACAATTAAATTAAAAACGTAAATCAAACCCACCTAAAATATAATTGCGACAACTGAAAAACATTAAACGTTCTCACCCATGACGAATATTCGTCTGCCATATTTTGTACACTAATTTGACCGTAGGGCTCAATTTTATATCACAAAATTACATTTTTAAATATCTATTTTTGTTCTTTGTTGATGACATTTGACGTTTGACATAACCTCAAAAATGTGACGTTTGACGTAAAAATCCCTAAAAAAGTGCAGTCTGTAAATTTGATGAGTTTCGATTTATTTTTGTGATTAACGCTAAAAACGAGTTTTAATGACAAAATTATAAATTTAAATTTCTATTTTCATTCATTTGACATTTGACTAATTTTCTCTTCCCATCGTGAAAACCCCTAGAAAAAAGTAAAAAGTCTCTAAACTTGACAGTTGTGACTTTTGACATTAGAAGAATTTTCAATTAAAAAGTTATTTTTTATAATTAGCATTAGAATAGAGTTTCAATGGGTGATTCAGATTTAGAAGAGTTGAGAAAGCAACGTTTGGCCCAACTGCAATCACAGTATAAGGTTGGTCAAATTTCGACACAATTTTTGGTTTTAATTTTTATTCATTTCAGGGAGATCCAGAAAATGAAAATTCACAAAAAAGAAAGGAAGAACAAGCTAGGGCTCACGAGGATGCCAAGAATTCGATCCTTTCTCAAATTTTAGACCAACCTGCAAGGGCTCGATGTGAGTACTTTTAGGTTATGTTCGAGGGGCCGTTAACTCTAGGATTAGGAATAATTTTACAAATTTTTGGAATTCAATCCAAATTCCGTGGAATTATTAAATTACTGGAATTTATTTGGAATTAGGGGAGATACGTAGAATTTCTTAGAAATCAAAATTAATTTGGAATTACAAGAATTAAGTTGAAATTACAGGAATTTCTGGAGTTATTTGTGTATTGCTGAAATTTTATAGAATTACTGGAAATCTTTTTGGAATTATTGGAAATAATTTCTTTTTAAAATTACGTTGAATTATTATACCTATAATTTCGAATAACAGGGATTTTGTAATTACGTAAATTAGGTTGGAATTACCGGAACTAACCTGAAAATAGTAGATTGACGATGGGTCACTGGAATTATTTGTGAATTACTGGATTTTTTTTGGAATTGCAGGAATTTTTTTGGGATTATAATTCAATGTTATGTTGAATCTTTTATTGGAATTAATTTGGAATTACGAAAATTAAGTTGGAATTATATGGTTTATTTTCGAATTATAGTAATTAATTTGTATTTAATAATGTATTAGAAATTACTACAATTATCCTTGGATTATTTAAAATTAATGGAATTATTTGTGAATTACTGGATTTTTTTTTGAAAATTACGTTGAACTCTTAGAACTAATAATTACAGGAATTATTTTGGAATTACGAAAATTAATTTGGAATTATAGGAATAATTTTGAAAACAATGGAACTACGATGGATTGTTATAATTACGGAATTATTCGTGAATTACTGGACGTTTTGTGAAATTACTGGTATTCTTTTTGCAATTATCGGGGATTTGTTTTCAAAACTAGGTTGAACTAGCAGAATTAATTTGTAATTACAAAAATTAAGTTGAAATTACTGCAATTAATTTGGAATTATATGATTTAATTTCAAAACAGTGGAATTAGGAAGGATTGTTGTAATTATTGGAAATAATTTATTTTCAAAATTACGTTGAATTTTTTAGAACAATCGGATAATATGGAATAACAGGGATTTTGGAATTGCGTAAATTAAATTGGAATTACAGGAATTAACCTGAAAAAAACTAACCTTACCATATTGGAATTATTTGTGAATTACAAGATTTTTTCTGGAATTTCTGATTTTTTTTTTAATTATAATTCAGTGTTATGTCGAATTCTTTATTGGAATTAATTTAGAATTAATTTTTAACTACGAAAATTAAGTTGGAATTATAGGTGGATTAATTTAAAAACAGTGGAATTAGGATGGATTATTGGAATTATTTGTGAATTACTGGAGTTTTTTATTACTTTTTTTTGAATTACAGGAATTCTTTTTGGAATTATAATTCAATGTTGTACTGAATTTTTTATTGGAATTATAGAGTTTAATTTCGTATTATAGTAATTAATTTGTATTTAATAATGTTTTTGAAATTATTACAATTATCTTTGGATTGTTTAAAATTAATGGAATTATTTTCGAATTACTGAAATTAATTTGGAATTATAGGAATTAATTTGAGACGTTTCTTAGAATAACCGGTATTTTTTTGGAATGACTAATTTTTTTTTGTAATTACGTTGAATGAAATTACGAAAAACTTTCAGAATTAATTTGTAACTACAAAATTAAGTTGGAATTATAGGTGAATTAAACAACGGAATTACGATGGATTTTTGGAATTTTTCTGAACTTGAATTAAAAGTAGTACACATTTTTTCAAGTTAACGGCCCCTTTTTTAACAAAAAACGATATATATTTTGATTTTAATCTCATGTTTTGAAATTTGCTTCCAGTGAATACTTTAATGTTGGGAAAGCCCGAAAAGGGCAAATTGGTGGAGAACATGTTGCTACGAATGGCTCAAACGGGACAAATCTGTTCCAAAATTGGAGAAACCGAACTTATTACACTCCTCGAAAATGTCAACGCCCAAACTCAACAAAAGAAACCAACTGTTAAGTTCGACAGAAGAAGGGCTGCTTTAGACTCAGATGAAGACTTTTAGGTTTTACATTTAATTTTTTCTCAATTACAAATAATTTATTTCACAACAAAGTAAACACACCAGCGGGACTAGAAACTTTTAGTTTTTATTTTTTTTAGTTACTCCTTTTTCTCATGTAACAATTCTGAAATTTAAAATGTTAATTAATTACATTGTGCTATTATGAAAACTTACCTTCTTCCTCATCTTCATCAGCATCCAAGATATCGGAGCAACAAATCGAATATAAAATCAAAGAGAGGAAACCAAGAGGTAGACCAAAAAGAACTGTTGTCAAGACAGGATTTCCCCTCCACATATCAGCTAACGATGTTCTTGCCTCAAAATATGTTCTATAGAGACGAACTGCAAGACTATTTCCTCCATAAGCCTTGAAAAATTGTTACTACAGTAAAAGAAAAAAAATTGTGACTTACTGGAACACTTTGATTGTAAATTCTTTCAAGAAAAATATCAATAGCATCTGAAGTTAACTGCGATGGGTCATCTTCTGGTATATGGTGATGGTTTGTGGTTGAATTTAAAACCAACAAGTGTGGCAATGGTAACACTTGCATTGCTATACTATTTGCTAGTTCAGGGTTCCCAACCCAACCAAATTGAAAATATTTGTGATATTTATCCCGTTTCTTCCTAATAAGACCCTCGACCATGTCTCTAAATTCCAACATTTCTTGACTTATTTGTTGCAATTTATTTTCTTCAACCACAACCAAAACAATGTATTTTTTAGTTTGGAGGATTTCGTTTATGTTACCCCTTGTAATTTTAGGAAACGTTTCAAATCTCTCCTCATTGATCCATTTATACATTGAAGAGTTTAAATGTTGGGCTTCCTCACTTTCATTCAAATCCACAACAGGGCCGGATTCAACTAAAAATTTAATTACACAGGGCGACAAAAAAAAGTCATGTAGTGACAACTTGACAAATCAAATGCACTAAAAAAATTTCAAAAAGTCCACACACTTTGAACTAAATAATTTTTTTCTAATTTAAATGAATTTAAAATACTTTAACTTTAAAAAATCATTACTCAATAACTATTAGGCCAATTTCTTTCAAATTAAGACCATTCTAAAGGGATGGACTTGCCCTTTAGAATTATATGCAATTTGAAATTGAATATTGGCAAACTTTTCTTCGAACAGTGTTCGAAGAAGTTCGAAGTAATCTAAGAAAAACCCTACGAGTAATTTTTTTTCTTCGTTCCCATCGTGTAGAGCATCTTTTTATTAGTAAGAATCCAAATTTTTAAAATAATATACAGAGTAGTTTTTAAGATATGATTTTTTGAAGTTAAGGTTTGCTATTCAGGTATTGCGCCATATATGTTAATCTTACTTAAAATTGCATTTTTATAAAAGTATTTGTTTTAAGACTTTTCTTTTGCTTAAAAATGGTCAATTGCACCTTCTTTGTTCTAATTAGAATAAACAAAAAACTGTTTGTTTTCTTAAAACAAATAAAAAGTACCTGCGTACTAATTAAAGCAAATAAAGAGTTTTTTGTTCTAAAAGACAATTAAACAAAGAATCCAAAAGTGGTAAAATATACAAGTTGTTCCATTAAAAAAAATAAAGTTGATGTGATTTCCGGTGAAACAGAAAACAGCATTAATTTAGCATCTATCCCAAACGATAGATGACAAAAAATGTTCAACTTTGTTCTAAGTATTGTCATAACTTTAAAAATAATGGAGTTATGGCTTGGGGCGTTTTTCATAATACAGCCTGTATAATATGTAAAGTTGTCACGACATGACTTTTTTTTGTCGCCCTGTGTTAGTTCATTTAATTAAACAGTGGATTCTTACTTGGGTAAAAATAATGCAAACTTTCTTTATACACAAAAACAGCAGGGAGCTCATCAATATCGACATGTTGTTTCGCGATTTCTTTACTCGCGGAATAGAAAAACCCATGTGGTTGTAATTTGCTCGCAACGTCGTAGTAGGCCTCCCATAGGAGGCCCTCTTGCTCCCCCACATACATGAAAAATAACTGATTCATTTGTTTCAAGTTTGTTAAGCTTTCTGATCTTGTTACGTCTTGAACTGGGGGCCCTGCCATCCGTATGGCGAAATTGACAATGTCGTCTTTGGTTCTGTCTCCATGAAATGTGAAATCCTCCCCTGGTTTGATAAATTTAATAGTGGGGAAGCCATTTACGGAAAATTCGGTGGCCAATGTTGGAAATCTTGTACAGTCTACTCGACCAACTCTTATGTTGGTTTTGTACAGTGCTTGGGCGACTTGTGCCCAAACTGGTTCCAGTCTTTTACAATGGCCACACCAGGGGGCGTAGAATTTGACCAACCAAAAGCCCCCTTCTTTGTAAATTTCCGAAAATTTGTCGCTTAGTTCTAAGACTCTGGACGCTGAACAGCAGACTAGAATTGCTACGAGAATTTATTTCGTTTGTGATAATTGGGGGTTTTAGACTTACCACAAAAAATTGTCAAGTTTGTGTACATATTGACGATTTTATTACGCTTTGCGTTTTAACTTAATCTAATCACAATTTATTGATTTGTTTCATAATCTGATTAAACGTGACTCCAACTACCCCACATTTTCGGAACACCAATTTGGGTCACCCTGTGAGTCCATAAGGGGTAGTTCAGACATACCACCATAAACTTTGTGTATGAACTAATAATTCTTCTTGTCTTCTTATCACTAATAAAAATTATGCTTCTTATTATTTAATATCAGTGGGGATTGACATAAACAATAATTATTATTATTAATTACAAAATACACCCCAAAACAACAATGAGTCTAATGCGCGTGCGCATATGTCACGGCCGAAAACACCTACATCCGAAAATTAAAAATCTAGAAAGTCTGTAAGAGCGATAATGTTTAGGAAATACCCGGAATAAAACACAGGGTGATTTTTGTATGGTGTACATTATTAGAAACTTTTTAACCTAGAATGCAGTTACGGTTTTAAAATTGTATCGTCTTAATTAAATTATTTTAATTAATTCTAGGGCGCGAGTTCTGGCGGACAATATACAGGATATTATCGGAATGTGTATATTTAATAAATAATAACATTATTTCTTTCTTCATTTTTTGGAGGATTTGCAGCTCTGATAGAATATTTTGATGGATTTTAAATAAAACACTAAATTTCATGAATTAATACAAATTTATTACAATAATTGCCATTTAAGGGTATATAGCTTTTTCATATGTAATTTCATATGTAATTCTGCAAAATTAACATCATATTTACAAATTTTGTATCTATTTTCCCAAACACAGTCGATTTTTAAGTCAAGATTGTAAGTTAATGCTGCCACAAAACTGTAATTTTCACCAAAGTGACAACAATCACTTTTAAAACTCGGGCCATCTATCTTGGGTCGTGATAAAGGACATCTGAGTTAAAAATTCCTATGACAAAAAATTGTTTCAGCCTTTTTTTCACGAGATATAGCTCTTTAAAGGTTAGATTTTGGGTTAAGTTTTTGGCCCTTCAGTATATGTAGCAAATCCAACAATAAATAAAATCCGACAACATCGGAAACAAAAGAACTAAGACAATATTGAATTTGACAATTCTATTTTTTCTCATAGAACATAGAAAAAAGCTGTGAAATGTTACCTGAATCACTGTGTATATCAAATTAACAAGATATAGTAAATAAAAGTATTAACTTATTAGTTTTTCTGTAAGGTAAGTACCGCATCCATTTTGTGTAAAATGCTCTTAAAGTCTATTTTTTCTTCATTTTTGTTTCTTTTTATACTCCCATTTAATTTTAATTCTTTCGCAGACTGATGAGTTTTAACGGATTCAACTTCGTTTTCTTTAAAAGTGAGACCAATCTCAGGTTTTTCGATATTCTTGTCGAAACAGTATATTAAAATGGGCAAATTTTTCCCATAATGAGAGATCGCTACCAAGTTATCATGTGGATGAAAATCAACACAATGTATCGTTAAAAATTGATGGTCTGACAAATAAGGAAGATATACAGCAACTTCGTGTCCATTTTTTATATTCCATACGTGAACAAATCCATTTTCACTGCCTGAATAAACATAAGTTCCACACGGTGTAATGGTACAAAATATTTGAAACCTAAAAAAAATACATAAATCGTTTGGAAAATTAAAATAAAAAAAACCTCTTATTGGACGCTCCACGCAACCACTGTAAAACACATCCACTTTTTAAATCAATTATTCGAATTGTGTTATCACGAGAGTGAACTAATAATCTTTTTTCATTAGGAAATAGCAATATTTGGTTTATTACTGTTTCTTTCAAATCCAATAGATTTATTTCCCTCTTCAACATCCAGTCGTTTTTTTCTTTTTGCCATTCCATAATAACACCTATCGAATCTCCGGTTAAAATATTCGATTTTTTGTTAAAACAGAGAGAAGTAATGTATCCTTTATGAGCTTCTAGTTCTTGATACAAATGAAATTCGGTTTTTTTATCAAGTGTTTGGTTCCAAATTCTTATTATTCCATCGTAACAACCAGTAGCTATCACATTTTCCGTACTTATGTTACAGCAATACACAAAAGACGGATGTGGCAAAATCTGGAAACAAAAAAATATTTTTTTGGAAACAGAAGTTTTCCATTTATTCTCGATGCATTGAAAAACGTTTTTCCCGCTCCGCGGTGTTTTTTACTTTGCAACAAGGACTAGGGGAAATAGCGTTGTACGGTTGGTATTAGATGACAAAACAAATGTCTTTTTTAATTTCTGGCGGCGTCAAAATTTCGTCAGAAATCTTTTTCATAGAAAACTTGAAAAATTACAAAAGAAAATAGCGCTAGTGTTTCAAATTTTGTTTTCATAAAACCATAGTAACGGACAGGGCTACCAAATCACCAAATAGTATATGACTAAATAATGTTAATATGGTCGTTGCATCTATCGGAGTTTTTGTGTTTTTTTTTTTACTTTTATTCGTTACAAAGAAGCCATCCATCAATAAAATTAACTTAGAAGAGTTTGAAATACCATAATTTAAACCCGAGATAAATTCCCGCTTTACTACGTAACAATAATAATACAACTGTAAAATAATATAGCGGTTTTTTAATCACAAAGTTTAAATTAATGCATTTTTGGCATCACAATTATTATTGTATACACAGAACACTGATATTAAAATAAACAAACACCAAAATATAACCTTAAAACAAATCTGCGTTACCGACATTCAAACAGCCAATTAGCGCAAAGCTGGACTATTACCTCACAGTAAATAAAACGCGCGCGTTTTGAATTTACTTCATATTATGGGTTTTTGATATATTTTTTTTTTTGTACTAAAATTAAGATAAAAAAAACAAAAACATGGATCAATTATTTTTTAATAAAGATTCAAAATATGCAATAAAAAAATATGTGCAACGAATTAAAATTTCGGGCAGTATTTTTCTGTCACTTCAAAAAGTTACTGTAAACCACCTTTTACTGTCATCTTGACTGACATTTGACAATTAAACTTTTCTGTCAGTGACGCTATTTTCTAAGTCAAAATGACATAAACATGACAAGAGTAAAAAATGAGGTTATTAATGTAAAGGTTGTTTTAGAGTTTACATTGTGTGCAAATGCCAATACTGCCCGAAATTTTAATTCCGGAACTATACTAAATGCGGGAAAATTGTCTTTCCGAACTCGTTAGTAAGTAACTAATTCACACACGGCATGAGGTAAAACTAAAAAAATATCAAAAACGAATTTTGTGGAATGCAATTTAACCCAATTTTTAATTACTAAATGAGTGATTTTTTTTGACTATTTATTAAAATGTAACAAAATACCTGAAAAGAAGAGCAAGACATGTTGTGAATACAAACAGTGTTGTCAGCACTCGTTGATAAGAGCAAGACATCATCACTGGACCACCTTATACAATAAATTATTGCCTGATGTGATGGAAATCTACTAACTTCGTTTAGTGAAACTATCTGAAAAAATTTTTTCATTAGTAGCAAAACAAAATAACTGGAATTATTTAAGAATTACAAAAATTAAGTTGCAATTACCGGAATTAATTAGGAATTATAGGAATTAATCTGAAAACAATGGAATTACGATGGATTACTGGAATTCGTTTTGGAATTATCCGAGATAATTTGTTTTTAAAATTACATTGAATTTTTTGAAATCATTGTAATTAATTTGGAACTGCAGAAATTATTTTGGAATTACAAAAATTCAGTTGGAATTACAGGAATTAATTTAAAATTATATGAATTTAAACAAATCTCAGTTTTCGGCCAAAATGAAGCAATTTGTTCTATTTCCAATCGATTTGGCTCGATTTAAGCGATCAACCTAAATCAATGTATTTTAACAAAATGTATGCGGAATTAATGTAATTTCTGTGGAATTACTGTAATTTCGGTGGAATTTTTTGGGAATTAGAACTAGTTGTACACATTTTTTCAAGTTAACGGCCCCTCGCAAAATAACACTCACCGAATAAACAATAATGTAAAATAAATTTTCACTCTGCACAGCACACGCTAAATATTTTCCACTCGAGCTAAATTTCATAACAAAACAGCCTTGATCAAAACTGTTGAATTTTCCATAACATTTATTTGGAATTTTACAAATCTCATTGTGCTTCCTAGACCAAGTCAGTGTTTCTTTTTTCAATTCAGAAGTATTTTCCACTATTGCAACGGGATTTAAAATTTGATTACTTTGAATTTCATCACAAAGTTTCATTGAACTCGTCTCTTTTTGAATCGGTGTTTTTGAACGGAAAGTTTCTACAACTTTACTGGGCGAAATTACCGATTTTATGTCAATGTATAAACTGGATGGATATTTTTTCAATTTTTTCTTTTTCCACCAAACCCAAGCGTTACAAATTTGTGGGTCGTGTTTCCTTATTTGGTGAGAATAATACAATTGTAGTCTTAAATTTTTACCAATGTTGAGTTCACCATTTTTTCCAGCGAGTTTCAGGAACGCAAACGCGATGTTGTGCCAACCTTTCACACACTCTGAAAAAAAAATTACTGTGCGATCGAAAAAAAAAATAAATTTGAGTAGGCGGTGATTATATTCCTTCAGGTTTGCGTTTTATTCATTTTGAGTGAAATAATGTTCACTTTAGAGCAGAAAATTTTTATTGTTGCATGTTATTACAAAAATCCTGTACCATTTTCAGTTTCAGTTTGTGTGGAAAATTTCCAGCAAAAGTTGTTGCCAACTGTAGAAGATTAATCGTCGCCTACTCTAATTTATTTTTTTTTTCGATCGCATGGCAGTTATTTATGTATCAAGGAATGAAACAACTATTTAATCTTGAGAATGTACAGTTGGAGACAAAATACTTTGGTCGTCAATGTCACTTGAGTGACATTAAATTATAAAGCATGCTTTAGGAGTGTTAACCTTATTTTTAGCTACTGTCAATCATAGTTGACAAGTTGTATGTACATATTTTTGATAGGAAAATCTAATAGCTGTCATTAATTTGAAATTGTCATTCATTTTAACGTTAAAGCTTGAATTACAATAAAGTGTCAGAAAAGTGACGACCAAAGTATTTTGTCTCTAACTGTAGGTAACACCAGAGGCGACTGAAGAGAGCCGAGGGCATTTCCATTCGGTATGTATACAAAACTAAATTATAATAATAACCTAAGAAAATGATAAATTTGTCAAATAATGTCAAAATATTTAGGGACACTTATATGTATAGTGAAACACGAGGGAATAAAGCGTCACTTTATTCCCCCTTGGGAAAAAACTATTTAAATCACCTTTTTGGTTTAATTGCTGCAATGTTGAAACAGAAACGAAATCTAAAAGCTCAAAAAACAAAATTATTCGATTACTTTCATCCCTGAAGTATTTAAAGTCTTCATTTAATAAAATGCTTTCTTCCCATAAAGGATATAAAATTCTACAAATGTTATTATTTCATTTATTTGAAACATAATTTCTTACCTTTTTTCCTGTAAATTATAAGCACGTGTCATTACTGGAGAAATATAATCATTATCATTGTTTTCATAAAAAAATACAACGGAGCGGTTTTTATCACTTTTTGGGAAATATTTCCCTGTTATTGCATCAATTACGTGAAGTTTTACTATAGGATGGACTACTAAAGAACTTAATTGGAGCCGATCAGTTTTCAGAATTGTGATTTCCACAATTTTATCATATGTGTAATTTTTCTCTTGTTTCTCTTCTTCAACTTCATTTTTTCTTTTTTTTTTCTTTTTAACTTTGTTCTTACTTTCCTTTATTTCCGATTCTTGAGACTCATCACTTTCACTACTTCTTGATTTGATCTTTTCTTTAATAATAATCTTTGGTTTTGAAGGAGTTGTGTGCACTAAAACTTCATCAACATGATTTTTTGCTCTTTTTTTGATCTTATTGTTCTTATTTTCTTTTATTTCAGATTCTTTTGACTCATCACTTTCCGAAAATTTCGATTTGGTATTTTCTTTTATAATAACTTTTGGTTTTAAAGGACTGGTGTGCACCAAAACATCGCCTATTTCATCAACATTGAACGTTGCGTTGCTCCCTTGACTTTCATTATTGTTTTTTAAAATTTTCGGAGAAGTTACCTCAAATGTTCTTTGACTTGTTACAGACGCAGGTTTCTTTTTCCTTGGTTTTGGCACCGGCGGGGTTTTAAGCTGATTTTCCTGGGGATGATCAAGAAATTTGTTTAAAATATAATTTTCATTCGCTTTTTGTAGTTTTTCGACATTGTTCGATAAATTTTCAGCACTTTCAGTGGGCGATTCCAAATCTTTCAGAAGATGTTCCCTGGACTTGTTGGAGCGTTTTTTATGTACTGCAGCTTTAAGTAATGATTCAAATTTTTCTCTTGTTTGATTTCTTACACTTAAATGTGCACTCGAACTATTAATTGAAGAACAATCATCAAAATTTGATGCCATTCTTTGTCACAAATTGTGACAGAAAGTTCAAAAATTTGTATTGATGTAACCATGGTAACCTCAACAGGGCTACCAATAGTACTAGTTGTCAAGTTAGTGACATTTAACACTAGGATAACTTTAATTAGATGCGTATTTTGGGATAAGGGACACAAAAGTGAGTTTTTGAACAAATTTTAACTATTTCAGTGCGTTTGCATACGTTTTTTTTACAGTGAGTCGCTAAAATTGATTTGTTTGGGATCGTGTCCTGTCATTAGACAAGACGCACCCTCCCTGTTTAGTGATTTTTATGGTGCCGGAGAACTGTCAAAAGTGTCAAAGCTTATAAAAATATACTGATATTTTCGTTGTTCTAAAAAATGAACGAAAGTAGTGGCGTGTATGATGCACAAGAGAGTGAAAAGCAGCCTCTCCTTGCAAATGAACCAACAACTTATAATGGGGAAACAGGAGGTAAGACATTATCAATATTTATGACATGATTCATTTTGTTGTTGTTTAATGTTTGAATTGAGCCCCCATGTCGTTGATTTACAGTTGGACAACAAGCGACTGTGTCTCCAATCGGACCCGACGAGTTGCCTCCGCCCTTTTATCAGGCTTCCGAGAGTGGCGGAGTCCCAATGGTAACATGTCGTGTGTGTCAGGCAATGGTTGATATTTCTGGTAAAAGAGACCAGCATGTCGTTAAATGTGGACAGTGCAATGAAGCTACGGTATGTGGCGTTGATTCAATCATTGTGGATCATTGTTTTGTTTTGAGTAAATAATTATTGAGGTCATTTTATAATATACCGACTAGTTTGTAATCAGTGAAACTTTGACCTGTGTAAACAGTGAAAATGGAAACAAAACGTTCTTTTTCTTTGCGTCAGTTTGTTTCCTCCTCAATGATTATAGATGGAGAGGTAAATGGCCAAAAATTTTGAGTTTTCTAGTGTTGTAGTCTCAAGTGGTGTGTAATTCTGAACTGTTTTTTCATGCAGCCAATTAGAAATGCTCCTCCTGGTAAAAAATATGTGCGTTGCCCCTGTAACTGCCTCTTAATCTGTAAAAGTTCATCACAAAGGATTGCTTGTCCAAGACCAAATTGTAAAAGAATTATTAATTTAGCCCCCAGTCCTGTCACTCCGCCTGTACCTTCAATGCCTGGGATGTGCAGGGTGACCTGTGGACATTGTCATGACACTTTTTTGGTAAGTCTAATGAAAAGTTTTAGAAAAAGTGAATTAAAACATTCAAGATGAATAAAATAATAAATTATGTTATATTTTATTATATTAAATAAAAATTAAAGTTACTTTATGTAAAATTGTCCAAGAATTCCTAATATGTATTTGATTTTTCCTTATCAGTAATAGTTTTTGAGATATCACCGAAAATTTGTGAATTTTTTCTAAAATTAAATTTTTTTAAGGCCACCAAAATCAAAAATTTGATCTAAAATTAGGTTTTTCTTATGTGAAATTCTCCAAGGACTTTTAGTATGTAATTTGATTTTATCCATTATTAACAGTTTTTGAAATTTTGGCCAGTTTTAATTTTTTTATAATAAATATTTGTCAATGTTTGAATTACATATAATTTTTCATGGTCACATAATTTTTTATTTTAAATCAAAATTGTTAATGTAAAATTGTTCAAGGATTAAATATGTATTTGCTTTTTCCATAACAGTAAAAGTTTTCGAAACATCTGCAAAAAATTGTAATTTTTTATTAAATCATCAAAATCGTTCATTGACAAGAGCTGGATTTTTTTTATTTTTTCTCGCTTACAGAATCAAAAAGTTGTACCAAAACTATATTTTTCTTATGTAGAATTGTTCAATTTTGATTTGTCATTAATAATTTTTGAGATATCACCCAAAATTTGTCATTTTTTTTTAAGTTCGTGAAATTGTTTCTAGTCGGGTACTGAATTTTAATTTAATTTTTAACTGAATTTAAATATAATTTTTCAAGATCACAAAAAATGTTATTTTAATTCAAAATTAGAGTTTCTTTATGTAAAATTGTTCAAGGATTCCGAATATGTGTTTAGTTTTTCTTTATCAGTAATAGATAGTTTTCGAAATATCGGCCGAAATTTGTAATTTAACCGTCAAAACCCTTCATCGGCAAGAGCTGAATTTTTATTTTTTTACGTTAACAGAAATCAACAAATTGGACCGAAATAAGGTTTTTCTTATGCAGATTTGTTTAAGGATTCCCAATATGTAATTAGTTTTCATTTATCAATAATAGTTTTTGAGATATCTCTTAAAAATTCTATTTTTTTTTAATTTGTGAATGTTTGAGTTAATTTTTCAAGGTCACAAATTTTGTTATTTTAATTTAAAATTAAAATTTCCATTTTGTGATGCTTGTCCTTGAAAAATATATTTGCTTAATTTCGTCGAAGATGGTATACAGGACAAAGGAAATAAAACCATTAGACTCAAAATTAAGGTTTCTTTATTTAAAATTGTTCAATGATTGCGAGTATATGAAATTTTTATAATAAATATTTGTCACTGTTTGAATTACATATAATTTTTCATGGTCACACAATCAAAATTCTTAATGTAAAATTGTTCAAGAATTAAATATGTATTTGTTTTTTCCATAAAAGTTTTCGAAACATCGGCAAAAAATTGTTATTTTTTTTAAATCATCAAAATCGTTTATTGACAAGAGCTATTTTTTGTCGGTTTCAGAATCAAAAAATTGGACCAAAACTATATTTTTCTTATGTAGAATTGTTCAATTTTGATTTGTCATTAATAATTTTTGAGATATCCACCCAAAATTTGTATTTTTTTTTATTCGTGAAATTGTTTCTAGTCGGGTTCTGAATTTTAATTTTTCAAGGTCATGGAAATTAGGTTTTTCCTGTGCGACAGTGTCCAAAGATTCCGAATATGTGATTAGTTTTTATTTGTCATGAGTGAAATTATGCGAAATTATCCAAGGACTTTAAATATGGAATTTGATTTATTCTATTAACAGTTTTCGAAATTATGGCCAAAATATTAAATTTTTTATAATAAATTTTTGTCAATGTTTGAATTAAGTACATATAATTTTT